AGGAGAAATGCCGTTGGAGGGGCAGAAAGGCTGGTGCTGCAGGGCAACGCGACGCAGGTGTGGGAGGAAGCCACCAAGTTTCTCACCTAATGGGCCTTCTGTATTTGAATGGCTTGCATAACCCTCAGCATTCACGTATATGGAAGGACAGCCAGGAACATCTACAGAACAATTAACAAGCTGTTTTTACTGCAAAGCACAGGTACAGGCAGGTAAGTGCAGCTGCCAGACCACCATCCAAATTATGCCATTCCCAAGGGGCTGGTGCCACCCCAGGCAGCTTCCTGGCGCTCGGCCATCCCACCACAACCTCAGCTGCATTTCCTCCCTGTCGTGATTGCAGCACTGCACCCCTGGGACCCTGCCACATGTTGTGTCCCTCAGAGCAGCGGGGGGTTTCTCAATACAAAAGCTCAGAGGGCGGCTAAAAACCCTACCTCCAAAGCTTCATTTAAGATAACTGAACTTGAAGGCTTTAAGATAACTTGAAGGTTTGAAGATAACATTTAAGATAACTGCACGTGACGGAGGCTGTGCATTTCCCTGGGGCCACTATGCTGACAGCAAAGGACAGCAGCAACAGCTCAATGCTTAGACCATCTCAGAAACATCACTGCAGGTATTTTAAGCCTGTTTTTTTCACAGCAAAGTAGGGAATTCTTATGAACAATGGCGAAAGCATGAAAGTTAAAGCAATCTCAGTCTAAAGAGGATCTTCTGTTTCTTTTCAAGTCCTCTGTACAGTGTATTTTGTTGCTGGGCACTGTAATATAACCTCTGTGTCCTGTTTTTTCCTGAATCAAGCCCATTTTCCACCTATAACTGAAATGGAAATGCTAACTGGGAGCTTTGGGAAGSTTTACCTCACGCTTCCCTTGTCTGCCTGTGTTTGCCTTAGGCAGACGTTCTGCTGCAGCTAAGGGCAGAAGGGGACTGGGCTGATGGATCGCGTGTTATTACAGTCGTAAACCATGCTCACAGGAGCTCGTCTGCAGCTTGTGCSTTTTCTTCTGTCTAGGCAGAAAGAGCCAGTGAAAGTGTGCTGTCAGCAGGGCCACAGAAAAGCATCCTCTGCCCCTATGAGAGCTTTCTATTTGTGCATTTATTTATTTGAGAGGAAACAAATTCAAAATGACCATTAAAACACCAGGAAAGCAGAAGCTACGTGCCTACTAGAACAGAATAATTGCACAAGCTCTGCTAGAATAGCAAGAGTCKGGGCAGGCCTGCTGAAAAATAACATTTGTCCCTTGTGGAAAAAAAAAAAAAAAAGAGAATTATTTGATCTGTCTGGTGTCTAGAGGGCTATATTTGCAATTTATAACTCCCCCCCWGCTCATTGAGATCCTCCGAGATCTCCAAAACCTTCTCCATGTGCCCTGGCCCTTGAGAAACAGCRGGCGGAGGTTGACACCTGGGAGCCGCAGACCAGCTAAGCTGCATTTGGTCCAGCCCAAGCAGACCTGGCTCTGGGCTTGTGCCTTATGGCTGGCCACAGAAGCAAAGAGCTGTTGGCCAGAAGAGGGCTGATTTGTCTCGCATTGAAACCTCCAGCGCGGGGTATGTCTGTCCCTGACTGTGACCTGCTGCCTGGCATCTCCTGCAYGGCTGATGTCAGCTGTGATGAGGAGCGAGCGGTGCTGAAAGTTGACACCCACCAGCTTATCTGGGAGAGCAGCAGCTTCGGAGGCCTCCGTTTTACATAGGAAATTCCTCTGCCTCCGTGCAGGACAAGCTCGGGGCCAGGAGGCAGGGGCAGGATGGCCAGGGACTCTGCAGTGCACCCCTTGCACCCGCTGACCTTGCCCAGAGAGGTTGTGGAGTCTCCTCTGGAGATCTTTAAAACCTGCTTGGATGCAGCCCTGTGCCACGTGCTCTAGGTGACCCTGCGTGAGCAGGGGGGTTGGACTCGATGACCTCTGAGGTCCCTTCCAACCTTAAGCATTCTGTGATTCTATGACCTGGCATCAAACAYCCTGCTGCAGGGACCCAGGACAGGCTTTTCCGCACAGACTGCAAGACATTTGATTCTGTGGTGCTGTTCACAAGAGGCTTCCAGGGCAATTTCTTCAACGCAGACCTTGCTTTGCTTGCTCTGCACCATCCGCTGGGCTACTGAAGACTGAACTCCCTACAGAACCAGGAGCCCCTTCCTCCCGTTTCCTGTCCTTCCACCTACCTGAGTCGTACGCGTAGTCCGCCTGCTCCTGCTTGACCACCACGGCTGCCGGGTACTGCCGGCCGCCCCGCTGCTGGCCYGCTTGCTCGTACCGCGGGTCGTGGTACTCCTGCTTGAAGCCCTGAGGTGGGTACTGCAGCTCCTGGCGCTGGTAGGCAGCCTCTTGGGCCAGGCCTTGCGAGGAGGGCAAGGAGCGGCACAGCTCCCCGGCGGGCTGGTAGGCAGAGCTGCAAGGAGGGAGAGCCGCTGCGGCTCGGCCGTCCCCGACGCGGGACGGCTGGGGTGAGCTCGGGCTACCGCACGGAGGCTCCGACTAGGGAGCTGGGATTGCTGGAGGCTTTAATCTGCATGCCACAGCCTCTATTCCCCAGCCCACCAAGGCGGCAGCCTCCTCGTGGCATCACTCACCTGGTTTCCATGAGGTATCCACAGCTGGAGGTGGAGTGGGGCCCCGCAGGGTTCAGGAAGCTCCTGTCCTGCCTGGGGAAGTGCTGGAGCGGTGACTGTAGCAGCGTTCCCGGGTTGGGGGACTTGATTCCAGCTTGTCTGCTCTGGTCATAGGCACTGGGATAGGCAAACACGCATTGGAGCATTATAAGTCTCCAAGAAGGACTTGTGGCAGCATCGGGGGGAATGTGCCAGCCCCTCTCCCCTCCCATCCAACCCCTTAGGCCAGAAGTAGAACAGAATCCCCTTCCTTTCCGAGCGTTTGCTCCCCTGCGCGGCAGCAACAACCCCTCCAGCAGAACACTAGAGCAGGCGCCCGATGCGAGGAATCACAGCCCAGCTCCGGCAAAGGAGCCCCTGGTGGGACAGGTTTGGGAAAGAGAGAAGAAATGGGGAGAGGGAAGGGCGTGCGACAAGGGCCAAGTCTGCTCTTGGCACCAGCTGAGGGGCAGCGCAGAGCAAGACCCAAGAGATAGACCCAGATCTATCCCGGGAGGGTCTGAGCTGCCTGCTGCAGCGGACAGCAACCTGAGCAAGGTGCCACCAGCTGATCCACGGGTCACTCTGTGTCCCAGCGCACCCGGAGCAGGCTGCAGCGCTCGCACCTCCTCCCGGGATGAAGCAGGACTCCCCGTTTCGCGGCAGTGCCCGTTGCGCCCCCGTTACCTGGTGTAAAGGCACTGCTCGCCATTGCGGTACTGGAACGGCTGCTTGTGGCTGCAGGACAGCGTGGGGTCCAAGGAGGGACTTTGGGGCTCCTTCTTAACGTTAGCAGGAGGACTGTGGAAAGCTACTGTGAGAGAGAAATGAAAGATGAAGTTAAAACCTTCCTTCTTTGGGGAAAAGTGGTTGTGTCAGCGAGCCAAAAATGTGTTCGGATGCCACCACGTTGCTTCTTGTTCCACTGGCTCTGAGACAAAGGACCAAGAGGGAGAGGAGTTGACTGGAGTTTCCTGAGCTCTACCCTTCATTTAGTGGGGTAATGTAAAATACTCTCTCATTGATGCACCTGGCAATCCTGTCTTGTGGGCATCATTGCACTTAATTACAACGCTCTAATACAATGCCATGCTATAGACTGCAGAGTAATATGGTTTTTCCTGTAGGATTAGGGATTTAAGGTTTTCCTAGACAGAGCTACACAAGCTCCTGAAGGTTGTCTGTGAGAAAATGCTATTATATATATTGCACATTATTATATATATTGCATATTATTATAGATTTTCACCAGATCAGCTTGTACTCAGGTGCCTTAAGTAATATTTTCAGAAGATCCTAACCAATTCAGGTAGCTCAAATCTCCTTTTCAAAGAAACTGAATTGCAGTAGAGAATAGAAATGAGCCCTTGCTTTCACTGCAAAACACCTCAAAGCTGAACGTGGAGTTGTCAGGTACTTTCAGCACCTGAAATCCTTCCCTTTGAAGGAGCTCATTTCACAACTTGTATCAGGTTTGTACTTCAGCATTCAGGAAAGAGGCCAAGCGCTGCTACAGGAGACTGCAACTCCTGCACGGGAGGTTGCCAACCTGGTGCTCAGCAGCTGCCAAGGTAACTTCCAAACACGAGTTTCCCAGTGTTGGATCTCTTCCATGCTAATGGTCCAGCATCTCTGGAGGTAGGACTGGGGGAAACCTCCTAACCCCTCTGCTCATCCAAAACTCAAGTGATGGAAAAGAAAAAGGCAAAAGGCTCTGCCCTGTTTTCAGTGCTCTAGTCGCCGGTCACGGCCCGATACAGATGAGTAGGAATATCTCTGGGCTGCTTAGGATTTCATAAGTAACACATGCGCGTTGCAGTTTACAGGACCAGGAAGTAGGATGTGGGTATTATTAGTTCTTAGGCTTAATTAAATCCAGCAGGGAGTCAAACTTCCTTCACTAGCTGCTCAGAAAAGCTTACGCTGGCTGAAGAACTCACCAAGCATCTTATGCCTTGGCCTCTGAGCAACGAGCTCGGCTACTGCTGTCAAGAGGTCCCGGGCCTTGGGAAAGTAACCGGAGAAGCAGYTTGTAGGTCTGGGCTTGTTCTCCACACAAGTGCGGGACTTGCTCTCCGTGTCACACTCTGAAGGAGACAAGCCCTGCTTCTTGCTTGCCAGTTAATTCCCAGCACCTCCAAGGGACGCGGCGCTGCCATGCCCGACGCTGCGGCCGCCGTTCTGCAGGCGCATCCTGACCCGTGAATAGCTCCAATTTGCCCGAGGCTCCCGTTGTTTCTGGCTCCCGCTCCTGCCTGGGGACACAGCCAAGCTGGAGCAGAGTGGCGTGTTCATASAGAGCTCCTGGCACCATCCAAACAACGTGGGTGCGAGTCCGCCCCCTCGACAAGCCAGGCCCACACCAGCCACGGATTTGGCATCCAAAGACTGTTAGTTCTGCATCTGTGCAAGCAGCCCTGGCCTAGGACAGAGCAGCAAGATAAAAGTGGCTTTCTATGCCTGGAGCATCAGCTCCCCTTCTGTCTGCAGCGGCTCTTTTCAGTGCGCAGAGCAACCAGATATGCTGAACCGCACTGAAACTGCTGATGTGTCAACTGAGCCTAGGAGAGAAAAACATAAAATTGCTTTGTCCAGTACACTGAACTCCATTCAAGCCTCAAGGAGCTAAATGTGCTAGGAGCGGCCAACTCTTTCCGGCCCCTAATAGCTGGAACAGGCTATCGCATTACAACTGGCTCATTCATTCGGAGCGAAACATGGGACCAGCCCTCGGCTCCAGGTCAAAGAGAGGAAGAAACAAGTTGTGTGACTCAGAGCAAAGCCAGCTGTGCTGCAGAGCCAACCCCAGGCGAGGGAGGTAGACCGGGACAACCAGGAAAACGCTTTTGCAAAGAAAAACAAAACAAAAAAGAGGAGGAAAGGGGCATCACTGTGGTAARAGCTGACGCAACAGCTTCAAATGGACCCTTCTGCTCTCGTGAGCTGCCAGACGTGAACAGCCCAGGGAAGGGTCCAACGTCTCCTGCAGCCCTGGCATGCCTGCCAAGCTCCAGAGTCCTGCAGCTTCTTGCACTGCACAGCTATTCCAACAGCTATCCCAATGCAGGATGTGGTGAGGACAGGCCTAACGTGAGGAGGGCAGGCAGGACTGCAGGRCATTGGTGCCCACGGCTCGTGCACAGGCACCTGCCCCCCATGCAACGGTCGGCTGCTCCACCACGGGGAAAGCTTTGCCCAACACCCAGRGCAAATGTCCGTGGTGTAACTGGTACACTTCAGTGCAAACACGTGCAGTCATTCTGCTACGAAGAGAAAAGCCGGGGTGGCCAGCGGAGTTCTTGGGGTACCACGGCCTTGCGCTGTGCTTTGCGGCAGCCAGGGCCACAGCCTCAAGGGACCGTCCTGCCAGGCCTGCGCAGCCAGGGGCTGCAGCGCTGAGCAGAGCCCAGGGCAGTCACAGCACCCTCCATCCCACGGACTATTCACCAAACTTCGCTCAGGGCAGGGGGTAACGCCACAGGTTTTCACCTTTGTCTGTCATAGCAATGCTTTTTTCTCAGGGATGTTCAGCGACGCCTAATTAGTCACAGACACAGCAGTAATGATGTTCATTCTTTGGGACCCCTCAACATCTGCATTTGCCCTGCCGAATGGGGACAGTTCCCTTGTTTGTTCTCCTTGTCACAACAGGGCAGGAATGAAACGAGTGCCTGGGCCCCGCTCACATCTGTTGCGGCCACATCTGTTCAGCCGCATCCTCCCCTCCTCCCCTGAGCGCTGCCCTCGCCCCGCTGCTACTTACAGTTCTCTGAATGAAAGTCGGGCACGAATTGCTCATCGCTGTCTGGAACCTGAGCTGCCGGGGGAGCACAGAGGAGAGGAATTAGACGGCGCACTTTTTGTGATRTAATTAACAGAAAGGCAGACATCAGTCTGGGCAGGGAAGGTCTGAGCTTTCTGCTAGGATGCACTTTAGTGAGTGGAGTTGTTTCCTTTTGGGATTAAGGAATACAGCTCCTCTGCCTGCAGATCGACTCTTATCAGCCTGCCCGTTTCTTTCCCTTCTGTATTTGCTGCTTTTCCTTGGTCTTTCCCCTGCTGTGGCCAAACGTGTCCAGACAGCCTGGCACCTCCTCTACCCCAGCCCTTCCTGGGTCCCATCTTTTGAGACTCTACTAAGCAGCCCAGCACAGGATTTTTTTTTTCTTTTTTAATCTTGTTTGTCACCGCTGACCATCAGCGGTCTACAAACATGCATCTCCACACTGAGCAAACAGAAGCTGTTTCCACACCCTTGCATCAGCCTAGCTAGAAACTGGGCAGGACAGAGTCCCAGCTGCTGTTGGATCCCCGGGGTCAAGCCCCAATCCAACTACGAACCTCCTCACTTCAAAAAGCTTAACCAGGACAAGAGCATCGAGACACCCTGGTTTGAATTGGCGGCTCCAGAACTTCTGGAATCCAATTCTGAGGCACCTCTATCTGACTGGCAGCTCAAGGTGCTTGGACATTTAAGAGAAACTAGTCTAAAGCCAGTGTGCAYACTTAGCACTTCTATTAGATGAGTGGCAACTAATACCTGTTTTTGTCCTGTGTTCTAAGCTAGATGAATATTTTAATTCTAGAATAGCTTCCAGACATTGCTTTTGCATCCTTATAACCCTCACACTCCTTAAAACTGCCCAAAAGTATTTCTTTTCAACTCGAAATAAATACAAAACATTTTTAAAGTCCTATTCAGTTGGCAAATACCTTTTTTRAAGATTTTATTTTCTGAAGGATGTTTTGGTAGATTGTCCTTCCCTAGTGGCAAAATTCGGGGAAATAACTTTGCTCAAAATACCACCCATAACAACTATAGTAATATAGTTGTAGGGCGACTATAGTAATATAGTTGTTAAAAGTCACTACCACACTAATTTCATACTTATCTAGACTTTATACTGGATAATATATGTTGAACCTTTCAGGAGATGAGCATTTTGCGATGCTGAAGCTAAAGCAAATTGATCAGACTGCTTAACATTATTGTATTTAATAGAACTCCTAGGATTTGAAATTTTCTCTTCCTTGAAGTCAAAGGGCAAAATAATTTAAACATCAAAGCCGAATGTTGTGTCAAAAGACAAAGAAAATCCAGAACGGTCCCAATAGAGAATTTTCTTTAAAAATGTTAAGGACATTCCTTAGATCTTCAGATCAAAAGAATGGTTTATTATTTAAGGAATCATCCATGCCTTAGCACCTAACAAAGATAAGTGACAAATTAGCACAAAATCGCAGCAGTTGCAAGTTGGGGCTGAAACAAAAATTTTAACTAGGAAAATGGGCTAACAGCCAAGTTCCATTCATAAGCAAATACCCAGCACAATAGTGTGATTCATGATCCTTCATTTACACAAGCCAGAGGTTGGCAAGGATAAAAAAAAAAAAATACTTACTGTTTGGAGCTAGTCAAACAAAGCAAAGGAAGAATAGAACAAACATAAAAAGACAAAGGACTAAAAGAAAGACGGGTAAGGAAAAACAAGCGAAAAAATAAACCAAAAAAAAAAAAAATCCCAAAACCCAGCAAAGCGGGGGAAGGAGCCTACCTTCTGTCAGCCAAGTCTCCTGGAACTGGCTCAGATCCTGGAAGAGGTCTGCAGGAGAAGGGAGAGGGCTGCTCAGCGCAGCACGAGGGGCGGCCGACGGGATGCGCCCGCTCGACGGAGGGGGCCGATCCCAGCCCAGAGCCTTCTCCTCCTTCCCTCTTTCCCCTCCCCTCCCCCAGCTCACCTTCCGATTCCTGCGCCGGCGCCAGGCCCGGGGCCGCGGGTCTCCTCCGAGCTCCCGGCTGAGCTCGACGGCCGGTAGCCGCGTGGCCCGGCGGCTGCAGCGGAAAGAGGGATGAGACCGGGAAGTCCTGCCCGGAGCGGGTCCGTCCGCGGCCCCCTTATGCGGAGGGTCCCCTACTCACCTGCGGGAATGTGAATGGCACCTCCTGGTCCAGGTAGCCCTTCATCCTGCCCGCCATACGCTACCTCGCGGCGCGGAGCTGAGGGCACCTGCGGAAGGCTGGCGGTGAGAGCGGCCGGGGGAACCGCGGAGCGGCCGCCACCTGCGGAGTCAGCGGCCGCRGCGGGACAAGGCGCCGCGGCCCCCTCAGTGCCGGCGACCGCGCCGTAGCTCCCGCAACTTGGGCGACGGGGCGGGACGGAGCCCCCCGCGCGCGCGCAGGGCGCTCCTGGCGCCCGCAGGCCCGGCGGAGCCCCCGCGCTCAGCGGCGGCGGCCCGCGGCCCATGCGGAGCCCCGGCCGCCCCGCCCCGGCCGCCGTGCGCCCGGGGGCGGCCTCCCATTGGCGACTCGCCTCGCTCACGGCTCGCCTCCCTCACTCCTTTGTTTCATTGACTTTGTGAATGAAGTGCGGGGCTGGGGAATGCCCACCAATCCCGTCTCCCCTTGGCCCTCACCCAGGGAGAAGTGGGCGTCGCTTCGGCCTCGAGGGCCAATCAGAGCGCAACGCTCTGGGATTCATTCACGAGCGGAGCGCCCATTCATAAAAAAGCTCCCGAAGTTCATTCATGAAAGCCTGCGAGGGAGCTCGAGCCGCGCCGAGCTGGCCTGGCACGAGTGCGTGTCGCTGCCTCTCTCAGGCTCCCACGCAGAATGACACACGACCAGGCCTAACAGCTCTCACACTCACTGGAGTCCTTCTAAAATATATACTGGCACCTCTCTGTAAYGTGACATACGTGTTCACATAGATGTGTTTACTTGAGACTGTAAGATACATGAGGTAAGATACATGAAACTTTCCTCAGGCCTATTAAAGTACTCTACAGAAAAAAAGAACTGCATGAAAGTTTTTCGAGGGCTACACAGATGTAGGATCTCAAACAAAGCCTGCACTTTTTTAAAGTTATTTTTGAGCCMGTGCAAAATGTTATACAGCCCAATTAGAAGATGATATTAATCAGGGCTGGACATATTGGAAGCTCAAGGGAAAATTACCAAGAACTCAGTGCTTCCAGATTAAATCTTATTGTAAGTCTTAGGTTACAATAGCTCTTACACCCCTGCAATCWGCTCCTAATGCAGTTTCAGGTTTCATCATCTTTTTCGTTTGTAATTTTCTAGCAGCAAAAACTTGGAAAGCTTGAGCCTCAGTGCTAAGAAGGTTAGAAATAATAGRCATATGGAACTAAAATGCTAAAGTTTTCCTTAAAAAGAATCATAATTTTGAGTGAATTTCAGGAGACTTGGGGACTTCACATTTGAGCAGCTGAGTCTGACAGTAGTGTGAGTAGATTTCTTGTGATCCTTTTGTCTTTGGGCAACCTTTTGGCTGCACCGGGCAGAGCTCACACGGCTGCTTCTGAGCTGCAGCATGCGATCCAGGGAGAAAGAGAACAGAAGCACAAACATTACAAAAATGAAAAATATATTTTCCCTCCACTGGCCTAGCCAGTTTAGTCTAGTTATTTGAGAATTTCAATTATATTATGAGCTCATAGGCTGGAAGCAAACAAACAAAAGGGACATTTTGCTTTAAGAACAAAGAATCATTAAACCACAATAAAAGAGATGGAGACAAGCATGCCTTTAAGGGGGGAGGAGGGGCTGTTTATGCTTTAAATGAGCCCACCTGTTTCCATACCTTTCTCTTTGCCCTGTGGCCTCCCTAGTCATCTGTATGTATCCTTCCTTAAATTTTCCTAAGATTGAAAGGTTAAAAACAAGTGTTGTTTAATGTAATCTATGTGCCCTTGGTGCTCACCAGGGCATGTGAGAATGCTGAAAGCGGTGAAGTTCCTGGGAAAGCTGCTGACTTCCTATTAAAGAATATTTGAGATCTGCAAAAGGTAAGTGGAAGTTACAAGTACCAAGTTATGTGGCTCGCTTGTTTGGCAGTGCTGTCTCTGTTCCTCTTGAGCTTGCTTTAGAGACTGCTCTTTTGTAAGATGATGATAACAAAGCTGTAAGCCTCTATGACTATTAAAGCTAACGGTCTCCTTYCAACAACATAGTTTCTTCCTAAGGAAATGCTTAGATAACTCTGTATGTGGTGATTACATCCAGAGATCAGGAGCTTTGTTAGATAGCTAAATTGTACGCTGCTTTAGGTCCTTTTGTTTTGTAGACTGCATCACTAAGACTTGCTGCAATGAGTAAGACAGACATCTCATGCAGTTTCCTGGAAGGATGCTTGGCAGAGTCCTCATCTTAACGCACACCGAGACAGGAACAAAGCAAGGCTGTACCCGGGGGAGCCTCAGGGCCGCTCTGGCATAAGCCACCGTGTTCCTAGAAACAGACTGTCAGAAAACCTGGGAAGTCTACATTGCAGACAAAGGTTATCGGTCAGAGTTTGAAATGTGTGATGTACTTTATTGTGAGCAAATTCTTTTTTTTTTTTTTTTTTTTTTTAAGGGATGTAAACTGCAAGTGTGTTGTTTTTGCTCTTCCCAGCCTGACGTTTCTCTGCAATCTGCAAGAAACTCTGTGGTAGTGTGGGTATTTGTCACTGTAATTCCACCGTCTAATGTCAGGATGCTGTTGTGCTGTGCTAGTGGGACAGGAAAATTCCCCCAACGCCTAGAGCTTTGCTTGCAAAACTTGCTGCACCTTTGGATCAGGGTGACTTTCTTTAGAGAGCAATGTGGTCCTAGCTCAGGAGGACTCATCTGGATGTCACACCATTGTGGCTGCTTTAGGCTCAACTTATTGACTGGGAAAAGCATTTTTTCTGTAAGATTCTAGGAACAAATGTCCCTTTTAAGTATTCATGCCAGCAACTTCTTATAATCTACTGAATGACAGAAGACAGTCCAGGTACTTTGTCTCAGGAAGGAAGTAATTAAAATATTAGCACTTTGAGAAATTAAATGATATAACTTATGGCAGAATAACTTTAACCAAATGTTATAATGTAAGAAAACAATTAAAAAGAGTTATATAAGGTTGGGTGGCTTCTTTATTGCAATAGAGTGAGCAGCTAATTGATTGTCATCTTGCTATAATGTACCAGGGCAGTTGAGACGGCAGCTAGAGAGGAATCTGCTCAGGATGGCTGGAGACTAAGTTCAGAGAAGGGAAATTATCTTCTGGGRAGAAGGGAGCAGGCAGGAGTGCCCTCAGTGATCCCTGTGTGCATCCCGTGGGGAGTGGCAAAGTCCAGARGACTTCCCTGTCTTTCCCCTTAGCTTCTGAGGCCCAATCCTTTGAGGTTATATTTACTGCTACTCTTGACAGTGATGGGCAAGCAGAAGTGCTCTAGAATTGGAGTCCCAAAATGGGCAGCACCCAGTGGGTGCCATCAGTCCCTGTGCAGGTGCCAGTGTCTGTCCTGCTGGCACTGCACAAATAAAGGGCAGCTACAGCAGGGGCTGCCAGGGTAGAGTCCTGCTTGTGGCCCCTACTGCCTGGCTCCTGTTGCAAAGAAGGTTGTAAGTATAATCCTTTTTTCTTTATAAAATAACACAGTTTAACACATTCGTTGCTCTAATAGCACAATTGGTAGCAGCAGTTTCCTGRATGTTACACTGAGAGACTTGTGCGTGGAGCTCCATTGGCCAGGAGTCACACAGGCTGTTATGCCCCTTTTGTAGGGGGCTGAAGAAATGTCTATTTTAATTACCAGTTTGTGCTTCTAACCAGTATGACCTTAAGATATCGAGCTTTGCCTCATTTGGATTTAAAGACAATTGTATGAAGGATGAAAAATAGGAGTATGATGGGAGCTATGGCTGCAGATTCTGTTTTCTCCCCCTTTCTGTGCTTTCTTCCTCACTTCTCTCTGTTTTTGAAAACTGTCTGCCCTAGGAGAAGAACAAAAACAGCCAAGCAAACCCTCAGTCCTGTTTTGGAAGTGGTGATCTGGTTTCATGTGTAGTGGGGCTGCAGTGACTGAGCCCTTGGTTAGGGGACATGYGTGTGAGCACAGAGGTGGTCAGTGTCCAGCATGGTGATGCTGCAGCAATAAGGTATTTGCAGCAATAAGGTATTTACTCATAACGAAGTAATGAAGGTGCTGGGAGTTACGAAGTGCCCAACCAAGGTGGGAGAGAGCAGCCTAGACTTCACTCGTAGGTGTGCAGAGCAGGCAAGGGTCCTAAAGCAAGAAGCGAAGCTGTTAGCAAGTAGCAGCAACTTAGCCCATTATGGCTGAAGTAACCACCAATAAAATGTAATCAATGAAATCCCTTTTAAGTTGGTTAGATCAGTGACCCAGAAAATAGCTCCCTTGCAGAAAAGGAAATGATAGTCTATAAAGCGAGAAGTCAATGGGAAAAATCTATTAGAGTGAGTGAGCCATCAGGAGACCTTGGGTGTTAACTGAAACCTTTTGGAAAGCAGCCACAAAACTTGTAGCTGACTTTTAACCCTCCTAGTCCTGTCTTGGAGCCACCYGAACTGCTCAGCCCGGCGGAGGGCAACACCGACAGCCTGGCCCCAGCCTTGCTCTTTGCTTATTCCTGGTAGATGCTGTCGGATGGAGGGGAATGCCCAGAGAAGTGGGGCGACCAGGGGTTTGGCTTTTGGGGCTCAGCTGGGGAGAGCTGGCTCTATGACATGCAAGCGCCGATAAGGATGACTGCTGGTGCAGTGATGAGTTCAAYTTGCTGGTCGTTGAACTCCTTTCTCCCACCGCTACCTGGTCAGTCCACAACACGCCTTAACTCCCTGCACAGGCTCTCTGGCTGGAGAAGGTGTCCACAGGGTTGGCGATCAGCAGGGCACCCTGAGMCTGGCTGGGAAAGTGCAACGAGCCTGGTGAACCCACAAGAAGCCTTACAAAGGAAGGGGTTTTCTGGCACAAAACCTGAAAATACCCCCCAAAAAACCCAACCCCCCCTGCCTTACTCAACAACTGAAGTAAATCCTCCCCCTGCAAGTTCTTTCCCCTCTCACAGGAGCTGTTCTTMGCTCTCGAGGCAGCTCACGCGGCCGGCTCTAGACAGCACTGATTGATTGTGAAGGCCAGAAGACAAAAAGCAGAGGCTCTGCCTTGCTACTGCCTCTCCTCAGGAAATTGCTCCGTTAGGTTAGAAACTAAATGGGAATCCAGCAGACATGGGAACATAATTAACTTGAGCAAAACTGGGAAAAACATCTTGAAAGATGTTATTAAAAAAGACCTCAAAAAAAAAAAGACTGTGTACATTCAATTTCAAGTAAGGTGTGCCTCTTCCTAAGGCACTCTTCTTTGGCTCAGTTAACTTGTATTTTGAGAARACGCTAGGTTATATCTTTTTCCTCCTGCCTTTCCACTATCCCGCCACATTTTCTGTACATAAAAAATAAGTGAAAAAATTGGCTCATGCAAAATAAACCAGGTATCTAGGAAAATTAGCTATCTAGATCCTGATAGATTACTACAGATTTCATTCTTGCACATACCTAACATCACAAAAAACTAGAACAACCCTCTGGAAGCAGAAGTAGCCATCAAACTCCTTCCATTATAATTAATCCTGGAAGTGATAAAGCAAATCTGCCTTCCCACAGCCCTGGACTTTCCTTTTCACTTGCTGCCTCTCACTACTTTTTATTACAAATAAGCATAAAAATTKGTAAGCATCAAGACACTGGGTGAAAAAAATGCATGTAATCTCTACATATCCTTTTTACATATCCCTAAGAAAATCTGTAGAATTAAAAGGTAAGAAAATGTGTTTGCTAGAGCAAGTGCCTTGGGCCTAGCAGATCACAGAGCTCCAGCAGGTGACAAGATTTTTTTCTGCCTGCAAATTTGCATTAAAACTCCTGATTTGAAATTTTTGAAAAGAGCATCCTCCCTTACCAGATTTTAGCTTGTTTTCTTTATAAACTCTCTGGAGCTGGAGTTTAGCCAAACTTCTACTTGCCAGAGGAGATCTTGGTGCTTAGTGAAGGGAAGAAGTGAGTCATGCAGCTACAGCACTACATGTTTTCTGAATGAAATCCTGGATGGGGTGAGGTTCATGATCTTTTCCAAGCAAACTGCTCTCCAGCATACTGAAAATCTAAATATATGTGAATATAATGTATATATTCCAGCTGGAATGCATTTTAAATTGATTACTCAAAAGCAGTTTTAAATAAGCCCGCATTTCCCCGGCAGAGCAGCCTGTTCTTGGCCTTGAAGGGATGCCGGTAGCAGGAAAATGTGTGTAATGGTTAAAAAAAGCCTTAGGAAATAGGGGTCTGGCCTCCCTGCACCTGGGGAAGGGGGCAGCTCTGCCGAGTGGTGGGGCAACTGCAGGCAACTTCTCCTCCATACAGGCTCCATACAGCTTTCTCACTGATGCAAAGCTCTGGTTTGCTCTCGCAGCTGATCCTCTTGCAGAGCTGGGTCAGCTCGAGGTGCTTGTTTGGCTGTAAGAGGCTGCTAGAACAGGGTGAGATGCGGAGGCAGCCAGTCCTGCAGGGAACTCGTGCAGCCTCAGCAGCAAGGGACAACTSAGCCGCAGCCATTCCAACGTCTGCGCGCTAGGACGGGCTTCTCTACCAACATCTTGGGTGCAGCACATGGTAGAGCACTCAAGGTGCTATGTGATGTATTGCGAGGGACGGAAAGGACTTGTTTGGACCACTGCTTAATTCTGTTTTTCATCTTCCTGACCATCTGTGCAGAYGCTAGTCACCCCAGCTCATCTTCCCCTCCTTCCAGTGAAGGATCTTAATGCTCTTTTACTGGGGGCATCCTTTTCAGCAAATCCCCCGTGTTACAGAACCTTCTGAGCAAAGACAACCCCCCGTGGCTCCTGCTGTTTGCTCCACCAAAGAATGAAGTGATTAATGAGCCTGAAACATATCTCTCTTCCCCAGGACATAGAAAGAGGCACAGCTGAATAAATACCCCACATTACTTTGGTCTGCC